GATGTAGAGCAACTCGATCAACAACAACAAAAAAACTCCTAGCACTAATAAATGAGTTTAACAAGGTTTTAGGACAGAAGGATCTCACATGCTGCAGGTGGGAATTTAAAATCATCCACTTCTGCAAGAACATTTTGGAAGTTTCTTATAAAATGAAAAATACATGTAACTTAGCAACTGCACTCTCAGGATTTTTATCCCAGAGAAATGAAAATATATGTCCATCAACAAAATTTTACATGACTATTCACAGCAGCTTTATTTGTAATAACCCCAAACGAGAAACAACCCCCCATGAACTTCAATAAACAAATGGATAAACAATCTGGTACATATATGTGATGTAACATCACTTGCTCTAAAATGAACTACTGATACACGCTATAATTTGGATGGATCTCAAAAGTACTATGTTGGGTGAAAATAAGCCAGCATCATCAGGTTATTGTATGAGAAATACACACACATATATATTTGTGATTTATGAGATTCCATTTACATAAAACTCTCAAAATGAAATAATTCTAGTGGTACAAAGCTAAGTGGCAAGCTGTTAGGTTTGGGGGAAGGTATGATTGCAAATAAGGGGATGTCTTTTGGCAACAAAACCGATTCACATTCTGATTATGATAATGGTTACATAAATCTATTCATGGGTGGAATTTCAGAGTAGTACACACCAATGGAAAAAAACTGGTGACATTTTATTAACATTTATAGTTAGTCAACAGCATTGTACTAATGCCATTTTTTTTTTAAGATTGTACTTATGTACTCAAGAGTGAGAAAGAACAGGAACAGGGGGAGGGTCGGAGGAAGAAGCTAACTCCCTGCTGAGCAGCCAGCCCAACTTAGGCGGGGCTCGATCCCAGTACCCTGGGGATTATGACCTGAGCTGAAGGCAGACGCCCAACCAACCAACTGAGCCACCCAGGTGCCCCTCTTTTTATTTCTGAGAGAGAGTGTGTGCATAAACACATAAGCAGGGTGAGGGGAGAGGGAGAGGGAGAAGCAGACTCCTGGCTGAGCAGGGAGCCCATGCAGGACTCTATCCCAGGACTCTGGTATCATGACCTGAGCCCAAGGCACACACTTAACCAACTGAAACACCCAAGTGCCCAGCCAATTTTTTCATTTTGAAAAAGTACAAGGCTTATATAAGATGTAATCACTGGAGGGAGCTGGGTAAAGTGTACACAGGAACTTTCTGTATTATTTTTATAACTTCTACAAATCTTACATTATTTCAAAATAATGGGGTTAGGGCACAGGTAAGGATTATTCGGGGATTAAAAAGAATTAAAAGATAAAGCATCCAGGAACAACAGCAAAAGTGTGGGAGTAAACATCTCTGAAAATTCTTTCATAAAAACAAAAAACTGATAAAAAATACCAAAAACAATGTTTTCAGAACTCTGAAAATTAACAATTAAGCAAAATTATTCAAGAAAATCAGCTGAACCTTAGTAAGACCAATAAATTCTTGCCCTATTTCTGTTCCTTTATCTCTTATCATGGTATGCTTGCAAACCAACAGTTAATGCTCACAGTGAAAACTAGCAACCTGGCAGGTACCAGAGTGGTTAGAGTCCCTTCAAACCCTCTTTACCAGATAACTATAACTATATAACCTTTCTGGTTGTTCCCATTTACAAGACTGTCTTATTTGACCTTGTCTGTTCAGTGTAAACAGCTTTTTCCTTACAGTTTGCTGGTAAAAATTAGACATAATTGATCAGTTTCCCAAATGACGACAGGATGGTAACAGGCAGGGCAAACAATAAGCTACCCAGGCTGCCCCACTGAGCCATCCAGGCTGCCCAACTATCCAAAAAGCTTTAAAAGAAAAGTTGGAGAATGAAATGTCCACAAGGGCTTTGAGAAGCTCCAACGTATTTCTGATAATTTAGGAAACAACATATACGTGTAGGACTGTGTGCATACCCTAGATTGTGCTTATGCTGAAGAAAGAACTGAGAAGGACTCAAGTTCTCACTGTGACTGAGTGTGAGGCTCTGTGCAAGCAGGAAGAAGAGAGGAAGACAGAGATGTAAAACTGCCTGCCTCAGGGTTGATGGGCCAATCCCAAGACACACACAGAGGCCTCTGGCAAAGAGGGGAGACTTACTGGTTCCAGACATTCAAGGAAATCTATTCAATCATTAGCTGACCACAAAGCTAACACAGTAAAGAATTCAGTGGTCATGCTAGACAAAGGTATCAATTTTAAAGAATTATTGAAGTAAAACTCCCTAAACAAATAACCACAACTACAACAAGCAGCAACAAGAAACCCTGAGGAGTGGGAATCTAATTTCCAGAGTTGCCACATTATATTGTTTAAAATGTCCAGTTTTCAACAATAATTCCTAGGTATGTAAAGAAATAATGTATTATTCAAACATAGGGGAAAAAAGCAAGCAATAAAACTGTCACTGAGGATACAGAGATGTTAGACCAAAAAGAAATTCTGCAGTTGAACAGTAGAAGAGCTGAAAGGAAAAAAAAGCCTAACAGGGCTCATAAGTATATTTCAGGGGTGCCTGGCTGCCTAAGTCAGTAAAGCATGCAACTCTTGATCTTCGAGTGTTAAGTGTGAGCTCCATGCTGGGTACAGAGATTTATTTTATTTTATTTTATTTTATTTATTTTTTTTAAAGATTTTATTTATTTATTCATAGAGATGCAGAGAGAGAGAGAGAGGCAGAGACACAGGCAGAGGGAGAAGCAGGCTCCATGCAGAGAGCCCGACGTGGGACTCGATCCCGGGACTCCAGGATCACGCCCTGGGCTGCAGGCAGCGTGGGTACAGAGATTTAAAAAAAAAATATGGTAGTTAAAAAAAAAAAAGCATATTTTAGCAGCCATTAGAAAGAATCAGTAAGCTCAAGTATAGGTCAACTGAGATTATCCAGTCTGAGAAACTAGAAACTAAAAAAAAAAAAAAAAGATGGGGTAGGTACACAGGCAGAAAAATAAATAGAACTCAGAGATCTTTGGGACAGCAGTAAGTGTACCAACATACACATAATGGGAGTCCCAGAAACTAAGGAAAAAAAGGGGCAGAAAGAATGTCTGAAGAGAGTGACCAAAAATCCCCTCAATTTGATGATAACCTTCCATCTATCTAAATGTTGAACCAACTCAAGTAGGAAAAACTGAAAGAACCCACACCTAGATACATAATTGTCAAAATGCACAAGAAAGTAAAACTCTCTAACTTAATTACACCAAAAAGGTAATATTTAGCAAAATATTAAGAATTAAAAAAAAATTTACTCATGAGAGAGAGAGAGAGAGAGGGGGGGGGGGCAGAGGGAGAAGCAGGCTCCATGCAGGAAGCCTGACGTGGGACTTGATTCCGGGTCTCCAGGATCAGGCCCTGGGCTGAAGGCAGCGCTAAACCGCTGAGCCACCTGGGTTGCCCATTAAGAATAAATCTAGTTGAATAACACTGTTTTCTCTATTTTGCTCTACATTTACAGATTTTCATATTAAGAACTTCAAAAGAGAATTTTTAAAAAAGATTTTATTAAAAGACGAGAGAGAGAGAGAGAGAGAGAGAGAGAGAGAGAGAGAGAGAGAGAGAAGCAGAGACACAGGCAGAGGGAAAAGCAGGCTCCCACAGGGAGCCTGATGCAGAACTCAATCCCGAATCCCGGGATCATGCCCTGAGCCAAAGGCAGATGCTCAACCACTGAGCCACCCAGGCGTCCCTTCAAAAGAGAATGTTATAAGATAAAGTTGAAGATATCACCTACAAAGAAAAAAGAGATTTTTAAAAATTAATTAATTGAGAGAGCAAGTGCACGTGCACAAAAGGAAGAGGGGCAGAGGGAGGGAGAGTGAGAGAGAATCTGAGGCAGACTCTGTGCTGAGACTGATGTGGGGCTCAATCTCATGACCCTGAGATCCTGATCTGAGCAGAAATCAAGAGTCGGATGCTTAATGGACTGAGCCACCCAGGTGCCCTGGAAAAGAGATTTTCAATTTAAGCTTCTCCTAGCCATTATATTATTTAAGAATGCACGTAGGAATTTTGTTTATGGAAAGATGGCATAGACCTATTTTTTCCTGTTCTTCCTGCTAAGTATAGCTAAAAATTGTATTACACATAAAACAAACAAAACACATGTTGAAAGATAAAGACAGACTGGCTAGGAACCTCAGAACTAAAGGAATGACACAGCAGTCATTTCTTTGGGTTTTTTGCCTCATGTGTTCCAGACTGGGTCCTGGAGAGCCACAATATGGAAATGTCAAAGAGCACAGACAAAAGTCTTAAAAGTCTGCTCAAAGAACCAAGACAGGAGCAGCTCAGCAAGATGGGAAACTTTCAGACAGTAACTGCTCTACCCCAGTAAAATACCACAGAAACAACTGTGGTCTCATCTCCATTCTCTCTTGCGAATCCTGTGGAGATCCCAGATTTCCACACTTGTCAGGCTATAATGAGTACCCCAATCCTCTCTGTATCATCTCACCACTGAAGTGGTATCAAAAGAGGCCAAGTAGGGAATCTGGACTTCAATCTCCTACCTGGCAGTAAGGTGGCAATGTCTTTCTCTTCCTCAGCTGGGGTGATCTGAGAGGAGAACTGATAAAGCATTAAGCTATAAATAAATTTCCGGGTCTTATAGGACCATAAATGTTCAGATACAAATGGAAAAACACTCATTTAATCAAGAGTCAGGAAAATCACAACTTGAGTAGGAGATGAATGATGAAGGTATTATATAAGGACAGATACCAGAAAAATGTTTCAACAAGCAATGACAGATTCACTTGAAATAAAGGGGAAAAAAATCTCAGCAAAGAAATCAAAGTTGTAAAACAAATCAAATGTAAATTATAGAACTGAAAAATACAATAACTGACCAAATAAACTCACTGGATATTGTCAATAGTAGAATGCAGATAGAATCAGTGGGGTTGAGGACAGGTCAATATAATTTACCCCATCTCAACAACACAGATAAAGTAGACTTAAGAGTGAGTGCACTGCACACTGTCAGAGCTTGGGGTTGAGGCTGCTGGCTGGTCGACGAACTCAAAAGCGTAGGTAGTGTGCTACGTGAGGGTTAAGTCCTTTGCTAACACCACAAAGGTCTCTGGCTCAATGAGTGGAGTTTGATGGTAATTCTTGCTACAAGTAAAGATTGAGGCAGAATAAAGCCATTTTCTGATGTGCAAAAAACCCCCTGATGTCTTAAGTACTCCTCTGCCACAAAAGAGATGCTCTAACAAATCAGAGAGTAAACCAAGGAAAAGAAATGTAGGTTGCCAGGGATGAGTTGAAGGGGACTCAGAGCATGATGGACAAAGAAAACACCAGGGAGAATAGCTAGGCACCAAGTCCAGAGAGCAACCAGTGCAGACTGGAGGAAGCAGAGGCAAGGCTTAAAGGAGGGAGGGATATAATTGAAAAAAAATGGAACTGACAGATCTGCCTGTATTTGGAGGATTTCTCCAGGTTTGGTGGAGAGTCTGAGGATGCATTAGTGACTGACAGAAAAAAAAAAAAACTAAGCATACATAAGTAATAGCCTTATAGTACTATGTGCCTTCTTTTGAAATTCAATTTTTAAATTTAACAGTTTTTGGATTTATTTTCTACATCTATTTTCTAATATTTAAATTTTCCTTAATTTTTTTGAATTGGTAATACATTCACGTTTTAAAAAATGTACTGAGAACTTTCCCTCCCTCCTTTAATTCCCCCATCTCCCCACACCACTCGACTTCAGTATTTCATTGAATCTAAGCTGCCAGTAATTGTACATCAAATTGTGTGCCACTTAAAAATAATATAATATTAATGTGTCCTCAATTTTAAATAGCCTATTTGTTTCTGAGATGCTGACATGTATGTTTGATCTTATTTGTTCTATATGGTTTTTGTTTTATCTTTGCTTCCTTTTTAAAATTTTGCTCACTTTTTCCATTTCTATCTTCTATGTCTATACTGTTTTCTATTTGAATTTGACCTTCATTCTGTGGTTTCTTCTGGATCTTTACTGAGTTCTGTTCCTTCACATGTCATCCGTTTTATGTTCTGTCATTTAGTCTTAGGAGTCTGCATTTTCTTTTTGTGTGTTTTCCTCTACTAAGGTGGTACTGACTTAAGTAATTTAAATTCATAGTCAGATTTTTAAAAATAAGCTTCATCTGTCCTGCTTTTCTGGTAAGTGTTCTTACTGAACAAATGAGTATATTTTGTTGCCCTTCTCCTACTTTTTAATTTTAGTTATCTGCACATGAATATTCTTTTATTACTCATCAGTGAATGAGTTGGGCTATTCCTAAAAACAGCAATTTACATGAGATTCCTTTCACTTGGGCGTGGGAGGGTGGGGGGACTGCTCTGATTTCAGCTAGTTATTTTTCACAGTCCAAATGCTCTCTTTAGGTGCCACAGAAACAGACTGCCAATTCCAAGTAAGGCCAGGTGGATGCCTCCCTGCGCAGGGCCCTACCTCAACAATCTACCCTGGAACTATACTCAGTCCAAGAAAGACTCTGCATATAGCCCCTCCTCACCCAAGTTACTGCATTTATTGCTGCTTTCAAGGAATATACTTTTGTACTTCACAGAGTGCTCTTCACCTGGAGGAATTTTTTTTTCCCCTATGACTTTAAAAGTAACTCCAGTGCTAGCTACTTAAAAAAAACAAAAACAAAAACAAAAAAACAACTCTTTAAATAATGAAAGGTAATGTATTAAATTTGTAAAATTTAGTATCTAAATTTGGGAACAATGTGGGGGAAATGAGAACACATTCATGACGATATAAACAGGTACTGTGATTGGAAATCACATTTAAACTCTACATGTAATTTAGCCCAGTAACGCTACTTCCAGAAATATATCCCAAAATGTTTTCAAAGGGGTTCAATGATAAACAAAAATATTTATTTCATTACTTATTACAGTAATAAATGGAAATAACTTAAGCATTCATTAATGGAGGACTAATTATAGCATCAACACGTCTGAGAATATCACACAGTATAGGAAGAGTCTCCTTTTCTAAGTTTTTCATTTTCCCAATCTCCTAAGATGACATGTCCTAACGTATGATCTTTATGCCACCTCTATTCACAACTTATACTATCAATAGACTTTCCTCTGCGCTTTTTTTTAAGATTTTATTTATTTATTTATTTATTTATTTATTTATTTATTTATTTATGAGAGAGAGAGAGAGAGAGAGAGAGAGAGAGAGAGACAGAGAGACAGAGAGAGAGGCAGAGACATAGGCAGAGAGAGAAGCAGGCTCCTTGTGTGGAGTCTGATGCGGGACTCGATCCCCAGACCCAGGATCATGCCCTGAGCCAAAGGCAGATGTTCAACCACTGAGCCACCCAGGTGTCCTTTTCCTCCACTCTCATGATGCTAAAAAACATATATCTGCTTATAATTCCCAGAACTTAATCATCACCATAGATCTCCATCTTCAATTCTTGAAATGGATCTACTTCAGAATTTTTTATTCAGCTATACACTTGACATCTCCACTTGGCTGTGTCTAGCCACATGAAGATCTCAAAAGGAAAATATTTAAAACTAAACTCTTAGATTTTTTTCCCTTGTTATTTCCATAGGCTTCCTTACTTCCTATCTGTAGTTGCTTATGCAAAACCTCTTAGCCACTCATTGCCTTCCTCCCCTTCTATCAGAAAATTCTGTCAACTGTACTTTCAATACATATCCAGAATCTGAACTTTTTTTTAAAAAATATTTATTTATTTGTGAAAGAGAGAGTTCTGTGCACACAGAATTAGAGGGAGAAGCAGACTCCTTGCTGAGCAGGGAACCCGATGCGGGGCTCTATCCCAGGACCCTGAGCTCATGACCTGAGCCAAAGGCAGATGCTTAACCGCCTGAGCCACCCAGGTGTCCCCTGAACTCTTTTTAAGACTTTTACTACCTCCATTCTGGTCCAAGCTGCTATGATAGTCTAAGGTTCCATCATCTCTCACTTGGTATCCCTGCTTCCACTTTTGCTTTCTTGCAGTTTATTCCCAGCATGAAGCCAGAGCAATCCTTTTAAAGGTCAAATCATGTCACTTCTATGGCTTCACCTCTGATGGCTCAGTCTCACTCAGAATAAAATCCAAAGGATTCTGAATGGCCCATAAAGCCCTACATCATCTGGCCCTCAGTTATATCTCTGAACCAAGTTGTGCAACTCTCCCCTTGCTCTATGTTGGTTTCTCTTGATGTTCTTTGTGTGTTCTTAACATACAGGCATTCTTGACTTTGTATAATACTGATATGTGTGAAGTGTATGCATACATGTGTAACTACATTATACCAGTCCCCCAGCTGTCCAAATATCAGTTACCACTGTATATTAACTGTGAGTAGTTACATAAACTTGATGCAACTTTATGCAAACTTTGCAGCTAGCTCCTCAGTCCACAAATAACTATGTAACTAACAGATATGCATCACAATCTATGACCAATCACACCACTTCCTTTGAAGTATATTTGTGACTGGTCACTGCATACCTGTTAGTCAGTTTATGCAGATGGTAAAGTGTGGAGCTGTGCTGTCTCTTGTTCCCTAGAGATAAATCCAGGTTATAATACTGGATGATAGAGAGTGAAAATAAGCCAACAAAAATGAAAACCCAGGAAAAAACAGTAATTCTGAAAGTAAAATTGGATGTGATTAAAAGGTCTGAAACTTGCAACAAAGAGAAGAGAGGATAAGCCCTAGGGCTGTATGAAGATATGGTATGGACCATGTAGAGAGAATCCAATGAATATTAAAAAAAAAAAAAGGTAAAGTCATCTCATATCATCTTTCAGTTGAAATTACACCAGGAGGGTAGCCCGGGTGGCTCTGCGGTTTAGCGCTGCCTTCAGCCCAGGGCCTGATCCTGGAGACCCGGGATCAAGTCCTCAGTTGGGTTCCCTTCATGGAGCCTGCTTCTCCCTCTGTCTGTATCTCTGCCTCTCTTTCTCTCTCTCTCTGTTTCATGATTAAATAAAATCTTAGAAAGAAAGAAAGAAAGGAAGAAAGAAAGAAAGAAAGAAAGAGAAAAAGAAAAAAAGAAAGAAAAGAAAGAAAGAAAAGAAAGAAAGAAAGAAAAAGAAAGAAAGAAATTACACCAGGAACAGAAAGCCACTATGGTGAAATGCAGTATTTACTTCTATTCTGGATTATTGATTGATTAATCAATCAATCAATCTGAGTCATTCAGGCCGAAGTGTTAAAGTTAGCTGCCACACTGAAAGAAAATGGCTACTTGGGATGCCTGGGTGGCTCAGCGGTTGAGCATCTGCCTTTGGCCCAGGGTGTGATCCTGGTCTTGGGATCAAGTCCCATGTTGGGTTCCCTACATGGAGCCTACTTCCCTCTCTGCCTATGTCTGCACCTCTCTCTCTCTCTGTGTCTCTCATGAATAAATAAATAAAAATCTTTAAAGAAAAAGAAAAAGAAAATAATCTTAGAAAGAAGAGAAAATGATCACTTATAGGGACAATGAAAAGCAACAACAAAACCTTTTCTGGCCAATAAAGGCTGATTTATTCCAAAAGTTAATAAATTAACTTCAATTTGATTTATTAATGTTAAGCTATCTGGTGAAGCCACTAGCACAGTTAAAAGATGCTGCTGTGCAATGTGCATCTGGATTCCATGCATTAGTTAGGGCAGAGGGTTTTGATGAATGGGATGAAGATGTCCCTTGAAGTGATGCTGGCAAAAAGTTTCACATTAAAGGAAATTATCTCTTGGAAATAATTCGCCACCATTGAAAAGACAAAGGATAAAATGTCAGAAGCATATCCAATTTTAGAAAAAAGCATGACAATTCACCAACACATGGAAGGATTGTTGTGCTCTTCATTGAGTTATACAATGTGAAGACAGCAAGCAATGTTCCAACTACTCTTGATTACTTTTTAGAAAGAAATAAAATATTTTTTAAAGATTTTATTTATTTATTCACAAGAGACACAGGCAGAGGGAGAAGCAGGCTCCATGCAGGGAGCCCAATGTGGGACTCGATCCTGGGATTCCAGGATCATGCCCTGGGCTGAAGGCAGGCACTAAACCACTGAGCCACCCAGGGATCCCCCAGAAATAAAACATATTATTTTATTATTTTTTAAGATTTTAATGTATTTATTCATGAGAG